CCAATTTGTGTCCCGGGTGCTCCACTTCCCATCCAGCTCCTTGCTTGTAGCCTGGGAAAGCAGTTTAGTACAGCCCAAAACCTTGGGTCCCTGCACTCACATGGCAGACCCGGAAAAGGCTCTAGGCTCCTGGCTTGGAATTGACTCAGCTGTGGCCATTGCAGGCACTTGGGAATGAAGGGACAACACAAGAATCACCCAACTCCAACACCCTTCACACAGTTGACTAGACAGCAGTGGACATTTGACTCAAGGACAACTAATCCATAGGTTTCACTTGGCATGGTGTAATCTGGAAAGATGAGCTAGATAAATCCTGCCCCCTAATGGATGTAGGAAATTGTAACAAAGATGATACAGTTGAAGGTTATGAGGACAAGTGAGTCCATGATGACCCAAGTACAAGTGCAAGTTATGAAGGAATAGAGATCACGAATGAGAAGAAACCAAGACAGAGACAGGAGTTATGCAGAGAGAAATGGATAAGAATACAGTGGACAAAACGGAGAAAAGTCTGACACAGTGTGTTTGTGCTTTAATCATGGTAATCATGATTGTATATTTCGTCTCAACCACAAATTCTTCCTGCTAAAATTTGTTAGATCTGCTCTGTTTCTAGTTTCAACAATGCCAACATGAGCTAAAATTCCTAGATCTTTGTGTTTGTTGGTTCAACTTGTCTTAGGTTTCCAATGTCCTTACAGGGAGCAAATAAGTGAGTTTTAGAAGCACAGTCCAGGCTCATTGAAGCTATACAGATGATCTAGGTCTCTTGGGTCATGTAACATCGCTTCACTAATTGTTTCACTGCAACCCATATGCGGGGAGCAAAGGGGGCTGTAGTGAAGGGATTATTTTTATGACTTTTCTCCAGAGGTTTGCTATGTTTGGTGTTTACAGTTCTCTGCTACCATTGCTGGTATAGAGAAGAAGGGAGTCACCAAATAAGGTGCTAGGATCAGGGACTGGGATAGACTGGTCCACTGGAAAATGTTCTGGCCAGCTGCCTGCTGCCTCTGCTGCCACCTCTTTAGCCTGTGAAGCTGGTGCCGCAGCTGCTGTGTGCCTCGTCATCATGTGCTGAGGACCAGCCAGTGCATGCATCTTTCCACCTTTTTTTCCTCTGTGCCTCTTCCCTCTGCCCTTAGTTCTGGGGCTCACAACACAAGGGCTTGAGTGTGATCTTCCTTCATTCCTATTACTTTTAGGAGTTCAGTTGCTCCATGCACATACAAAAAAGGAGATTACAGATGATGCAGCCTTTCTTTTTTTCCATTCTCAGAAAAAAAAAAAATAAAGCACAGCAAGTACCCATTAGAATGAGAGAAAGTAAAATTACAAGTAAAGATTATATGCTTTACAGAAAAAAGACTAAGTTCAAATCTTGGTCCTGCTACCAATTATTGGATAATTGGAAAAGATACTTTGCCTTTCTGTAACTTACCTCTGCATTTGCAAAATCAGATAGACATGCCTTCTGTGTAATGTTATGTTGAAAACATTTAATGACTAATGTAATTTATATAAATTTAAATTAATAATATACAAATATTAGTCTATATTCCTCCATCACTATCTAGGTACAGTCTCATTGCATTCTCTCTGATTTCAAACACTGTTTCAAGTCATAAGGTATATAGTTTAATTTTGGGTTCATAAAGTAAGTGACCATGGATACAGGATTCAGAAGCAAGCAGAGGAGAGGGGATGGAACATGTGCATACTCAGTCCCTTTTTTTAAGATTTATTTTTTTATTGGGAAGGCAGATTTACAGAGAGACAAAAATCTTCCATCCACTGGTTCACTCCCTAAGTTGCTGTAATGGCTAAAGTTGAGCTGATCCAAACCCAGGAGCTCCTTCCATCTCCCATGTGGGTGCAGGATCCCAAAGCTTTGGGCCATCCTCTCCTGCTTTCCCAGGCCACAAGGAGGGAGCTGGATGGAAAGTGATGCAGCCTGGAAATGAACAGGCACCCATATGGGATCCTGGCGCATGCATGGCAAAGATTGAGCCACTAGGCCACTACACCTGATTATTAGGCCAAGCCAATGGAAGTCAAAGAGCCCAGTGTGGAATCGAGCCCTGGTCCCAGCCACAGTGGCTCCATCCTGGCCCATTTCCATGTAAGGTACTTGCCCCATTTTCTTGTAAAGTGTGGGCAAGAAAAGCTTAACTTGGTTCCCAGATACATGGCCTTGGCCAAAATCTGGAACCCTTCAAACCACTTTGGCCCTAAAGAATGCAGAAATGCCCAGCTTTTTCTCCTCTGACCCCAGCAACTGGGACAGTGCTCTGTAATTTGGGGGTGAGTAGACCATCAGTCTTGGTTTCTGTTACCGTCAGGGTACTTACCATGTTTTAATTCTTAGACTACACAAACACTCCTATTCAGTTCTTTTTCTTTCCTCTTGTCTCCTCACCTTTTCTCCTTTTGTCTCTGCTCTCTCTCTCTCTCTCTCTCTCTCTCTCTCTCTTTCTCTCTCTCTCTCTCTGACTCACCCCAGATGGCTCTGTGGCTGAAAACATACCCACATACTTCTCTGTGCTGTGCCACAGAGCTGAAGATTCAAAAAAACATGTATGTATTTTCTCTTACATGCATCCCTGACCTTACACCAAAGACTATGTAAGTCTTGACTCCACCATATCTTGATCTCATGATTTAGGAATGAGGCTGATGTTTCCTTGGGATATATCTTTCAGTTATAAGAGAGCAGAGATAGAAGCTTTGCAAAATGAATGAGCTTCTTATCTCTGCCCTAAAGGGGATATGGTAGGAGTAAAGATCATCTAGCATCATTGATCATAAGCTAGGGGAAGGGATGGAGTGACAGGTAGGGGTAGCATATGGATTACTCCATTAGGCTTCAGCAAACAGCCCTGCCTTTGTATCAAGTTACTCATTGATCACCCTTACTACCACTCCATGGGCACACAGGAGAGCCTGCACGTGCTATTTGTAGAGCTGGAGAAATGCCCGTCATGTTGCCCTTGGATAAGAGATACAGCAGTTCCCATGGTCTTGACTCCCCTGGAGGTTTATTTGGTAGATTAGTGAGTAGCACTAATTCTAGGAACTCAATCAGGAGGAATTAACTCATTTAAAATTAAAATTAACCCATTTAAAATTCCTTTCGTGTTTCCCGCTGAAGGTAATACATACTATAAATAACAGTATGGGTGGGAGCCATATAGAGAGAGAAATAAGAAAGCAGAGGCAAATGACGCTTACATCATCAGGAAATCAACTACTTGTGACATTTCATGTGTTTCTTTCCAGAGTTTTTCTTGCCTAGTTTTAGGCTTTCTATTTTAACTGTGACCATTTAGTGTCACAGCTTTTACTTTCAACATAATGCTATGTGTTTCTCTGTTATCCTAAACTCCTTATAATTCTAAGCATTTTTATGGATATAAACCAAGTTACATTATCTTCCCTCAGCCCGTTGAAAATGGTGGTTTTGCTCAAGTGCATGTGGTTGTAAAGGCAGAAAAGATGACCCTCTCAGGGCAAAACAATGAAGAAGAAGCAAAGAGAGTCTAGCCTATGTTTGATCTTTGTTCTTATGGTAATAACTAGTCCCTGGTGTCAAGCAATTTACTAGCTAGTTTAGGGAGATAAACATGATAAACATATAGTTTTTAGTTAATCCTGGATTCTTTTAATTTTTACCTTTTAGATATTTGAAAATAGTGTTGAACTTTAAAAGAAAAGATCTGAAACATATTTATGCATATATATATAAATGTGTGTATATATATATGTATGTAGTGATATATAGCTTACATGTAAATTGACCAAGACAGAAAACAAATTGTTAATAACAATAAATTGCATGCAGAAATTTAAGTTCAGGCACAGGTTAGTTTAATTCAAATTTAAATCTTGCCACCTGGTTTCTGATAACTGATACTGAAATACACATGATTTAAATGTTGTGATAATGGTTTCTTGCTTTTCATGTATTTGCTGAAGTATAAGCATTCTTTAGGAACATGCACATTTATTTTTAACTAGTGTTGCTGACTGATAATCTGAATTGCAGTTCTGATTTTATTTTCATTTAAAAACTATAGGCCCAGTAGACCGTATTTAGAAGATTTGAGACCAGGAATACTTGAGATATCAGAACTTTTCAGGTTCTGGAATAATTGGGTAGATTCCCCTGACTGGGCACCTCTAATCTGAAAACCCCAAATCCTACTGCTGTAAAATCCCAAACTGTTTGAGCACTTGGGTTTGCATACTGGGGGTGCTCAATCTGCACTTTAAATCTTGTGGGAACATATATATTTTTAAAGATTTATTTATTTTTATTGGAAAGGCAGATATACAGAGGAGGAGAGACAGAGAGGAAGATCTTCCGTCTAATGGTTCACTCCCCAAGTGGCCGCAATGGCCGGTGCTGCACTGATCTGAAGCCAGGAGCCAGGAGCTTCCTTCGGGTCTCCCACATGTGGGTGCAGGGCCCCAAGTCTTTGGGCCATCCTCGACTACTTTCCCAGGCCACAGGCAGGGAGCTGGGTGGGAAGTGGGGCTGCCAGGATTAGAACCAGCGCTCACATAGCACATTTAAGGCAAGGATCCTGGCACATTTAAGGCAAGGACTTTAGTCATTAGGCCACTGCACGGGCCTGGAAACATATAATTAAAAGGAGCTATGAAATTAATAAAACAACAAGTTTTTTTAATGGCTCTATGATTGGTATATTGGTGTCAGGGTGTCACCACAGAGTACAGGTAAGATAGAGAGGAAACAAAATAGGAAGCAGTCTAATTGAAGGATACTTTAAAACCCAAAGTTGGGGGATATTAGATTGAAGTGCATGTGCACCAAAGAATCAAATCAAAGATGCTTCCTAACTCAGGCACTGTAAATGTTAGAGTAACAGGCGTTCTTCAAGAGTGTTAGCAGAATGATTCTTACTCAGAATGGTTCCTGGCACCCTCCCTTCTGTGAGCAAGGATACATCTCAACACTTGTTCATTTCTTTCAGATTGATGACCCTGACAGCAACCTTGACGAGGTGATTGAGGAGGCCGAGGCCATCACCTCTTTGAAAAATGTGGGAAGCAAGCAAGCCTTGAGTACGGATTATCTTGATTCTGATTACCAAAGAGGACAGCTGTACCCATTCTCCCTCAGCAATGATTTACACATGGCCACGTTCACTCTCACTAATTCAGTTCCCATGACCCAGTCCTTCCAGGAGCGGTGGTACATGAATCTCAACAGCCTCATGGACCAGGCATTGGCCCCGCATTGTGGCAGTGCAGAAGACCTCTACATCCTCACAGGCGCAGTGCCCTCTGCCCACAGACTTAAAGACAAAGTGACAGTCCCTGAGTTTGTTTGGCTGGCAGCCTGTTGTGCTGTCTCTGGAGGCGGCTGGGCCATGGGCTTTGTCAAGCACACCCAGGGCAGTGACATCATAGAAGATGTGATGGTGAAAGATCTTGAGAAATTGCTTCCATTGAACCCTCAGCTTTTCCAGAACAACTGTGGTGAAAGTGAGCAAGACACAGAGAAAATGAAAAAAATCCTGGAAATGGTGAATCAAGTCCAGGATGAAGAGCGAATGGTGGAGTCTCAAGGGAGTTCTGTTCCCCTGTCCAGCACTAGGAGCAAAAGATCTGCTCTTTTGCCTCCAGAGGCATCTGAAGAAAAGAGCAGCTTTTTAGGAAAATTCCTGGGCTTCATTGCTACCCCATTCATCAAACTTTTCCAGTTAATTTATTACCTCGTGGTAGCAATCCTGAAGAACATTTTCTATTTCCTGTGGTATATTACCAAGCAGGTGATGAACGGCATAGAAAGTTGCCTTTACCGCCTGGGCTCAGCCACCGTCTCATACTTTGTGGCCATTGGGGAAGAGTTGGTAAGCATACCCTGGAAGGTGCTCAAGGTTGTGGCCAAAATCATCAGAGCCATTCTCCGGATTCTTTGCTGTCTGCTGAAGACTGTCTGCCGTGTTCTGAGCATCCCTGTCCGAGTCCTCATGGATGTGGCCAGTTTCCCGGTGTACACAATGGGTGCAATTCCAGTTGTCTGCAAGGACATCGCCGTGGGCCTTGGTGGCACTGTCTCCCTGTTGTTTGACACTGCTTTTGGCACCATGGGTGGCTTTTTCCAGGCAGTTTTTAGTGTCTTCAAAAAAATTGGCTACAAGGTTAATTTTGACAATTCTGGAGATTTATAGAACTCAAACAACTCTACAATGAATTTCTTTAAATAGAAAGCTGGAATATTTTATTGTTTTGATGGGCTTCTCTTCACTGTCAAGAATCATTGTGTGTTAGTTTCGGTGGGGGTGTCTGTCTAGTTTGCAATAGAAGATGGCATAAATAAGCCTCAAGGGAAATGCTCAGGGTGAAATTAGGTGTCGCAATCTGCTGTGTACCTATAGTTACATGTGCAAATTTCCGAGCCACTGATAACTTCAGTTATGCACTGTGATACAGATGGTAAACTTAAATGTTCTTGTATTCATTAGAGTTTAATTAGAAAGAGGACAACTTGAAACCAGGGGGTATTATCTTGTGTCTCCCATCACGCTCTGAGACTTCAGGCAGAACAGAAATAAATACCCTTGGCTAATTTCTTAGCAAGTATTTCTCTTCTCTCCATTCTTCTCCCTTTGGTAAGAACAGATGATGCCTCTCTGTGGACATACTGGTGTGAAATCCTGTATAGCTCTTGGGTTTTCCATGATTCCAAAGGACCTTTAAGGTTTCATTTTTTTCCAAAGTTGAATTCTACTGCATTTTTTTTTCAGTGGTGATAACCATTTTATGTCAAAATGGCCTAACAAATTTTAAATATAAAGGAAAAAAATTTTGTGTCCCTTGAATTGTGTTATGCAGTCTTTCCAAGTGTAAAGAAGAGGATGCAAGTTGGCAGCCCTACTCTTAGTTGAACTGTAGATTTAAGCATTTCCTTAGCAAAGCTTGGATTAACTTAACATATATTACATCTCTGACTGATAAGAAAGAACTCAAAGATGTACATGTTAAGCTACTATGAGAATTCATATTCTACAACATACTAGATCTTTCTAATGCATCAAGTAAATACTCAATACAGTAAAACACTCTGATTTCTATTTGCAAATGATTACTTAGATATAGCTCTACAGGAAAGAGCCACAAAATAAAAATTATTTTAGTTATCTCTTGGTCATTTTCTAAGCATCATTATTGCTTAGAAAAATTTTTGCACAGTGGTTGGGGCTAGAAAACATAATGCAAATTAAAATTGAGCGATAATTCTCAATTTTTAGATAAAGCACTTGTCATCTTTATTCACAGACTAAAAATCGCAGGAAGGAAATAAAACTTTGTTGTGTCTTCCACTGCTAAGATGAAATCATCTGGACTTTTCTGAACATCTTGTGAAATTAGAAAGAACCAAATGTGAAATCCTGATCTTGAGGGTACCGCCTATGATACAGCAGAAACTCTGATGCAAAAATTTATGGTGCAGAAAGGCAATCGGGAGACAATGAGTCAATGGTTTTTATGGAATTAGCAAAATGAGAATTGTGATTGTATCAAAAGTAACATGTTTTTCCCCAAATGATTGAATGATACCCAAAGCAAAACAGCAGCCACCTAATTGCCTAATCAACGTAAGATACAGCTTTGAGACTGTGAACCGCAGACTGGTCTATAAAATGGAGAGATACACTAGATTTTTCTAAGAACCTTATTGAAATGTTTTACCATTAAGTCTATTTCTGAGCAAAAAATATTACACTAAGACTTCCCTTCATTTCTACAGTGTGAAAGGGAAAGAAAGGGTTATCTTGGAAGTGACTAAAGAGAGAGTCTTGCAAATTTTCATATGATAAGGAACCCAAAACACAGGGAAGCAAATGACTTCCTGATTTTTGATGCGCAGATTTGGATCCAAAGTTGTTCGCATCTATTCTAGCATAGCTGGGAGGTCAGAGAAGGGGAGTCTGTGCTGTTATTTAGCTTTCTCCTTGGGACATGGCAGTATTTTCATATCCATCTTACCGATTCCAGGCCTGATTAATCATTTAGTTGTATGCTGAAAATGATCATTCATGCATGTACAACCTCATACGTCCAATGGAGCCTATCTCCTCTCAGTGTACAGTTTTGTCTAAAGGTCTAAAGAAGGCATCTATGCTAGCTTTAGCCTCAGCACCATCCAAAGAAACAAAGCATCCAAACTGCTTCTTGGGAACTATTTGGAAATGTTTTCTTTCTCATGTCAAATTATTTACTAACTATTTATTCTTGCATATTTTTAAAGGTGGGCAGGAACAATAAACAACAGAAAAAATAATCTTACTGTTAAGTAGCCAAGATTGTCCACTCTGGTTCAATAATGTTGGCTGTATTGGGCCGGAAGCTTTAGCAAGAGGCTGAACTCCTGGCCTCTCCCCAGTGAGTTGCTATGGGCTTTAATGTAGGAGTCTGGGTAAATGAACATCCACTATGGCTTGAAGATGTTGTGTGGCACTGTTATGTTCTCAGGTTCTTAGAAGGCCAGCCAACTCTTCCTTCTTACGGAGCTGATTTTCTGGTTTGGGAATCAGCCATGCCTTTGGACACTAACTTCCATGGTGGCTTTGGAATGCTGACTTCCTGATGAACATTAACACTTCTGGCTGAATACAGATTAGAGAGTTCATTCTTCCAACACAGCGCAGCCCTCTTCACCCAATTATTTACTCATCTAGAAAACATGCATTTGTACACCACGATTGCAGAGCTGTGCAATTGCATTGCTTCAATCTTTGGGGAACTCAAAATCCGATGGGTAGGTGAGATCATGTGATATAATTGATACTTACGATGTTTCATGGTAAGTGCTGTGGTAAAGATGACTAGTATCCCCCCTGGGACACATGATGGAAAAACAACAACCCTTCGGGAATTAGGGAAGCCTTTACAAAGGAGGCAACCAAAGTCCATTTGATGTTTTCAAGCTATGTACAATGCTGTGCACCTTGTGAGACTCAATAAAGTAATTATTGGCAATTTGTTAGATGTTCCGTGCACTACCTAAAATGGGAGAATACTAGCAGTTGAAATGAAGTTTGATGCGTTTCCCAGTTTTCTTCTTAATCGTGGTGACAATTTATTGCCACATCTGATTTTGTTCTTTAAAAAAATGAGTCATACATGAGGAAAGGGAGAGATATGAACTAGTGAAACTGACCTTAGAGTTGCTTTTCAATGTTACCACTTTGAAAGGGTGATTCAGACATCACATTTTTTGACATGTTCTTTACGCATGAGCACCACAGCACATGGGCTTGTTATTTTACTGAATCTGAATCACATAAGACCAATGTAGGAATACTGTGTTTTGATTGGGCAACTCTGTATTTTGGGAAAAAAACAAGAAGTCTCTGAAGGTTTTTTTTCCCCCTGTGGCCTATTGCAGGGCACTTAGGAGTGCTGGTGGCAGCTACTAGAGGGATGCCTTCCCAGTGTGGGCAGGATCTTGTGTGTGAGTCTGTATGGGGTTCAGCATTATGTTTAAGCTCAAGTCACAATGTGGTTTCCCAGTGTTATACTAAAAGAGCTGTAATGTTGACCACTTGACTTCCACAAGTGGGTTCTGAGACTTCTCACTTTCTCTGTAGATATCCTTCCACCCAAGTCATGGATTGGTTCCTAGCATCCACAATCCAAACTGGTTTTTAAGTGTAAATTTCACCAAAGTACCCATGATCACTCATCATCATGTATTGGGCTCTTTGTTGGGGTTCCAGAATGAGTTTCTCTGAGGAGGCAGATCTAAGTTCATTCCTGGAAGGACGCTGATCCAGCACCTAGCAATAGCTCAGAGCCCATGCTTTAGGGTCCAAGTGACATGACGCAAATCCTGGCTTCCAATTCATTGACTACATGGTTATGGACAAATTACTCAGCTTTCCTCATCCACAGTATTGTGCTATTAATAGAACCTACTTCAGAGGGTTGTTATAAACAATCCTCAGCAAATGATTGTTGTCACTATATTGAATGATATTGATTAGAAGCTGCTTTGGCAGTCAGAATATTTATAGATCAAAGCTGGAAAGACTAGTATCAAAGTACATTATGGGAGTAAAAGTACTGAGTGGAAATGAAGGACCCAGAGCTTCATGTAGAAAAATGTGAGATTTAGAGCTGGATTCTCGAAGGATAGTCAGAAACTATGAACTTAACATGTATTCAGCACTCTCATGAGAGGGAATGACGTATGAGCCTTTCAGGTTTCTAAAGTAGAAAATTTCCCTCAATGCCTAGTACCTAACCACAAATTTCACTTGTCAAGAACACTGGTACCCGAGAGAAAACTGGAAGAGCCTGTGTACACTTCAGCTGCTAAAAAGAATGACAGCCCTCACTCTAGTCATTCTCCTTTGTTCTCCAGCCTCTTATGAGTTAAAGTGTTATGAATTAGTTCCCCAAAGACCTGGGGTATCAATAAGATAAAACTTGGGGACTTCCGCAAGTGACTCCTAGGTCCTTCACCAAAGGGAGCATCCACATTTATTAGGCACAGACTTCAAGAGGCCCTTTCTTTTCTTGAATGTCACTTTTGAGTAGTCTTATGCCACCTGTGATACCTACTTCCGAAGCTAGTACTGATAATAAATTTGGACTTTGGAGGTTTGAGCAGGATGTAAATTTCTCCAGAAAGTAAGCAGATGCAAACAAAATGTAGCCATTCAGAAGGCATTAAGTAGCTAAGCTAATAATTGGGTTTGCTGGTAAATGTTGACCATTATGCCCAAGGAACTTATGGTCTTGAGAATTCTGCCTCTTATTTTTCAGTATTTGTTAAAATTTCATAAATCTGTTGTTTGATGGACCTCCTCCACACACCCCAGGCCCATTTGCTTCCATCCTGTAAATTCCTACAATAATAGACATTGGCATGAAAAACACCATGTGAGTCATGTAACAAGAGTTGGACAAGAAACAAGTGCCAGAGTTGAGTCACAGGTGAGTCCCTACCCAGACTTTCCTGGCAGGCTGCAAACCAAAGACCAGCCCAGGCATGACCCTGAATCAGTAGCACTGACAGCTCCAGATAGCAGCTCCTGGAATTCTGTTTAGGAGATTGTGCCAAGTATGCGTTTTACCAAGATTTCTGTTGATGAGACATGTCCAATGTCTCCTGTTCATTGTGTATGGGAAGTGGTTGTTCAAGGAATCATCAAGATTGTAGAAATGGGAGGGAACTTCAGGCTCAGGAAAAATCTGAGCTACTGCTTCTTTTGTAGATGTCTTCACTGATATCCTCATACTTGAAAAAGAAGAGAAGGTTGAACAGGATGACCTCTAGGGCCCTAGCAACCTACAGGTAATAAATTGTGCTTTTTGTAGGTACTTATCTCTAATCTCTAAGGGTTACCAAAAGCTGGAGAAATCTCCTGGGAAGTGAATGTCATCATTGTCATCATCCTACTTGCAGAATTAAGTAGTGGGTTTTGCTTCTTGCTCACTAACAATTCCCCCAGTAGCCTTTAGTATGGTCAGAACTTTCACCACCTGGCACTCTTCAAGTAAGCTATACATATGGTCTGAGGAGAGTAAACACATTATGTCAGTGTTAGTAATCTTCCCATAGCCAGGAACAACTTCTACACACAAGTAATTTTTTAGTAGGTAAGAATGCTGTACAGTCAGAGGCACCTGTTTGAGACCAGTATCCTGCAGACCCAGAGATTTACCCGGGGTTTTGAGAGACGTAGCAATGAGAGTCCTTCTAAAATAGATCCATCTATCATTTGTCTAGTTACCTATCTACTTAAGATTTACATATCTATTATCTATCAATCCATCATTTTTCTGTCATCTATCATCTATCCAAGGCACAATAAAAAATAAGGCAAACCAATTTTTTTCTCTAAAAGTTCTATGTAAGATCAACCCATAATGTACAGTCTTGAAGGAAATAATTTGGCTGTCAGGCCTATTGAACCCATAATAACTGATATGCTGGCAAATATTGAATAATCACATTGCAGGTCAGGGGATGAGATGATGTGTATGCTGATTTTTAATGCTTGCCAATTTCTGTGGTTTATGCTTTCAGCATGAATGTGTTTAAGCTACAAATGTTATCTCTTTTAAAGGAAGAACTGAGAATAACAGTCTACAACCTGCATTCCTGAGCTGGTGTGAGCCATTGGGAAGCAGTTCTCCAACACCACTACTTATAAATCCAATTGAATACATTAGGATATATCAAATACATACATATATTATATATATTATATATGGTATGCAACACAAAGTAATTGAAAGTCATAGTGTGGTAGAGAAAAGAAAGTCATTGAGAAACATACTGTCCCTGCATGTAATAATACTATTTAAGAGTAAGGAATTGGAAACTCAGATACTTCCAAATCCAAAGGTTAACACTCGCCATGTAAAATGAATGCATTAAGCTGTTTTGACACAAAGCCTTTAAACCTCAATTAATTTAATACCTCTTTTTCAGTCTATTCCAATAACACAAGTTCTAAGCATGACTTGGTTTCCTTTGCTGATTTGCCTCTATGGAATGAGTATATTGAACAGATTTCAAATTTGATGATGTTTTATCATGGTAAATTTGAGCCAACTGTCTTTTTAGTTTTTTGGTTTTTTTTTTAAGATTTTATTATGATTTCCTATGTAGTTTAAACATATAATGGACTTAAACAGCAAGTGGAAGTGTCCTCATCCATGTCAGGTCTGTGCTTCAGTGGATATTAATAAAAGATCATCATCATTCTGTCCTTTGTCTTTCATGTGTCCTTGTGTGATTCTCTTTCCTAGAGCAGTTTTTATCTTTCAGGGGCTCATTGGAACCCACATATATGTGTTCCGAAACAGAGAGCTCTTCACACTGCTGACTTTCTGGAATACCACCCATTTCCATCTCCTGCATTAAGGCTCACTTCCTAGTTCAGTGACCCCTACCTGTGAATCAAATATCATGAGAATACGGTGTAATTTGATGAAAGCTCTGCTGTTGATATACTTCATGGTGGCAAGATGCATTCGTCAGGATTCCTTTAGATATATGCAACAGAAAGCCTACTCTAGCTAGCCTAGTTCAAAATTTACTGGAGCACAAAAAGAAAGTTTAAACAGATCTGTGGATATGAAGGACCCTAATGGTGGCAGAACTGTGTGTGTGTGTGTGTGTGTGTGTGTGTGTAGAAAGCTTTTCTCATACGTCATGGAGCATTACATAGACATCTCTGGATAGTCACCCCTACTGCTTCATATCCAGGGAGGGGAGAAAACTCCTTTGTTAGTTTTGGCTGGGAGCCTTTCTGAAAGGTTTTTTTTTTTTTCTTATTTATTTTCTAGCTGAATCCTTGGAATCTCTGGGTCAATCACTGTAGCTAGGAAGGAACTATGAGACAATTGGCCAGACTAAGTTATGAACTTTTGGGTAAGTTGCTGTAAGAACAGGGAAGAGATGCACAAAGTCATCATGGTCATCTCTTGTAGACTGACTCACAGCCTTACGTAAGACATGCAGTGATGACCCTGAAGCTGCAAGAAGCCTCAGCTCTTTCACATGTATCACTGAACTACATCAGAACCACAGATAATATGTAGTTTCTGGCTGTTCTGAAAAAGAAAGCAGAGCAAAGCAAAACAAAATTCTGGCACAAGTGAGCCAGCATTTCCATCAGGCCATAATTAGCTGGGTTTAGTACACAGGGTGTGCATTTATCCTGGTTTCCATCATTTCTGTTTCCCATCCTG